TGGTGCAGGGTCAGGTGGTCTTTCTTGCTGTTGCACAGAGGGTCACTGCGTGTATGTGTCAAGAATGTTTGAATGGCAAATGGTTTACAATATACATAATTGCCACAATTAAAACGGTGTATTTAAAATTTTATAAAACACAGGGTTAGAGTTTAGAAAAACAAAAGATAATTAGAATTCAAATATGGATCATGCTTCAGCATAAATAAAACTCTCACCATGGAACAAGGATGTGAATAGCCTTGCTATCATGCAGAATATATTATGGAAAGTGGATTGTTGCAGATGCAGGTAGGTTAAAAATTTAGCACCCTATCATTTGTTCCCCCTTATGATCCATTTGCATTTATTCATTTTTAATATTTTCTGCTTTTCAATTGAGATTTTAATGTTTTTTTGTTTGTTTTTTTAAAATGCTTTTCTGTGTATGAAATCCAGGCAACTTTATAAGGGAAGTAACTGGATTAATGGTTCCTTGGGGGTATGGCAGAGTAGAAATGAGATGCTAATAATGATGGGTAGGAATGAAGAAAATGTTCTAAAACTGGTTTGGTGATGACTGAACAACTCTTCTAGATGTGAATGAACCACTGAATTGTATGTCATATGAACTATATGCCAATAAAACTGTTGGGAAAGAAAAAGGTTCTCCTTACAACCAGACCAATAAGCAACATCATGATAAAGTCATGAAGGATTTAAATTTACTTGAATCTGCAATTAATTCCCATAGAAGGAACAAGTCAAGAAATCAAACAGCGTTGTGTCGGGCAAATCTATACAGTAGGAGAGACCTCAGTTCTTGTTGCTGAGTTGCCATGGAGTGATTTCCAACCCCTAACTGCTCAGTTCTGCACTACTTTCAGTTGTTACTATGTGAGACCTCACTATTGTAGCCACTGTATCAATGTATCTCTTTGAAGGTTTTCCTTTTTTGAGGACCCTCTAGGTTACCAAGTGTGTTAGGATGGGTTCTCTAGAGAAGCAAAACCAGTGATGCTTATATTCATGTATATATAAAGAAATTATTTTATACCAAGAAAGTGGCTCACACAGTTGTAAAAGCTATGTTCAAATCTGTGGGTTAGATTTTAAGCTGGAGGGTTCTCTTGCCAGTGCTAACGAACCAAGAAGTAGGAAGACCAACTAGGAAGCAAGAAGACAGACTGTTGGGAGTAAAGGCAAGAATCCAAGGTCTAGCACGTCAAGCTCATGGTTGCAGGGTCAGATGAACCTAAGGTCAGCAGGCAGTAAAGCAGGCTGCTGACAGCTCCCAGGGTTGGCAGACAAGATGGTGTGCTGAATGGCCAAATGCAGGATCCAAACCAGCATGAAGGACCAAGCCTTCCCAGAGTCTACTAAGAAGAAGTAGGCCACACCCCCAAGGAAGCATCCTTTCACTTGCACTCCACCCTAATCTTCCTACAACCGCCGGGCTGCTCACAGCAGTCCATCATGGAATTGACTGTGCTAGATCACAGCATGGGACTTGCCAAACGACCAAAAATCCTGGCCCAGCTACGTTGACAAACCCCTAATATACCAAGTGTGATGTCCTTTTGCAGGGCATGGGTTCTCCTTATCACGTATCCAAAGTGTGTCAGACAGAGTTTCGCCATCCTCCTTCTACAAGGAAGAATACAATACCATGCTTAGACATAAAATGGTTATTTAAAATATATTTTAATGAAAACACCTTTTCATCATCTTTAAATAAAAATGATTTACATTTCTAAAATCTGAGGCTGCTCTGGCATTAGGACTTAATTCCTTCCTGCTCCACAGGTTTTAGATTCCACCGCACCACTAATTCCCCAGTGCTCTTGAGGCACGTGTCAGACATGTCCTCCTCTGTCGGGAGTCCTTGTGGCAACTTCAGTGGCTGGATCCTAAACATAACATAATGCATTTAGAATTATGCAAACCAAAATAACCCCGCAGCACCAAACTCACTGTCACTGCAACCCTATAGGACAGGGTAGAACTGCCCCTGTGAATTTTCAAGAATGGAACTCTTTATGAAAGCAGAAAGCCCCATCTTTCTCCTACAGAGCTGCTGGTGTTTGAAGTACTGACCTTACTTATAGTTACCAGCCCAACTCGTAATCACTGCACACCAGTTTCCCTATAATTGCACTAGAAAACATTTTTAAAAAGTAGCTGATACAATAAACAAACCTTATCAAATGTTTCACCACTTTCAGTTTTGCATTCACTGAAGGGATATTCTTATGAACTTGAGGAGTATGTGCCTACAAGCAAAAGAAAACAGAATGGGTCAGTCTAAAATCCAGACAGTCCCATGTTCCAGTAAAATGTTAAGCTAAAGATCCATTCTGTCTAAATCAAAGCTAGAAATATATTATATTTTTTTTGGGGGGGGGGAATGTATATTTATCTATGCTTTGCAGTTAAAGTGTAAAATTAAAGAATATTTAAATAACACTAAAAACAACTAAAAGAATTGCATACTTTTCCTAATCCAAGCATCTTTATTACATCTTTTTCCCAATATGGCCGTCTTTTTGTACTTTTTATCCTGGTAACAATATGCAGTTTATGAGGGTTTTGTGGATCTCCACCATATTTTTCATGATCTGCTGGT